AGAGAAGATCAGCGAAGCCAAGTCAAAAGAGAAACACCTGACAGAGGAGTACGAGCATATACACACACATAAATAAATATACGCACACTTGCATACATATGTATAGACATACAGTACACATGTACATATAAACACACACACACACACACACACACACAAATTCCCCACAAGGTCCAAATTGACAGTTTAGCAATTTACCAAAATAAATATACATATACATATACACATACTCACACATGCATACTCACAAGTTCACTACAAGGTGAAAAGTACTGGTATTGTTTTACTTGTGGGGACTTATTTGATCCCCTCAGCCTAAAGGCAAATTTTTATTTCTGCCTCAAGTGCAAGCATATGCTCTGGCGCAATCTACGCATGGTCACATAGCCCTCGCCGTGGCCATCGGCAACTCTGACACGCAACTCTCAAAAAACGTAACTACACGTTGCAACGACGCGTAGCGCAAGCTCTGTGATTGGTCGGCTTGGTAGCTCTGACGGTGGAGCGAGGATGGAGTCCTGTGAAGGAGCTCTAGATGATTATGTCTGATGATTAAAGTGGTTGCACGTCTGCCGGTTTCTGCCTCAAAATGAACGAGTTTGAGCCACTTGTATATTAAGGTAGCGTTCAGAAAAAACAAAACACCAACGAAGAAACTCGACACAGAGGAACACAAACACCTACTGTCAGCTAGCATTTCTGAAGTGTTGTTGCAGAGCAACATCAACAGCGTGCAGAAGTATAACCCCCGAGTCACACGGGGCTTCAGCGTCAATGCTTGACAGAGGGCATGTCTGAAGTTGTGGCTGACGCGATCGTCATTGCAGCATCAGCCAATGAAATTAGTCAGCAATCGGCTACTGTCTGAGCTGGTGTATTTGCATGCAGTGATCTGATTGGCTGACGCTTCCGTCGGCTGCCACCTCTGCAGCAAGCAACGCCAATGAAGCGGCGCTGACGAATCCACAATGCAGTTTGGCAACACCTGACGCCACCCATTTAAAGTGAATGGGAAGTGTTGACGCTGAGGCCCCGTGTGAATGGGCCATAATTGCACAGCAACGTGCAGGGCATGCGTCGTGGGTCACGCTGATCATTCGACCAGAAGTATAAACCAGGCTTAAGAAATACACACACACATAAATAAATAAGCATTATACACACACATATAAACATACACACACAAACATACACATATGCACAAACATATATATACACATACACACATGCATACACACATATACACTCACACCTACACACACCAGAAAACATCACTACAAGGTCAAAATTTACTGGTATTGTTACACTTGTGGGGACGTTTGGTCCCCTCAGCGTAAAGCCGCCTTTCCACTGCACACAACATTTGGACACGACTGTCGGAATACGCCCCCTTGTGGCAGTCGCACAGTATTTTCAGTGTTGTAGTGCACCATGGGAGAGAAGCTGATTCTCAGTGTCCGAAGTAAAGGAGTGCAAAAGCAAGAGCTTTTAGTCTCTGTGCATTTACATGGTTTAATGAAGGAATGAATACTAGAAACTCATAGACCGCTACAAATATTGGAGGGAATATAGAGACAAGATTAAAATATATATTTTTATTACTTTCTTACTTACATTTAAGAACAGAAAGTTTTTTTTTTTTTTTTTAATGTAGACTTTTTATAATTCAAAAAATAACCAAATAAACTCCTATTTCTCATCTCGCACACACGGACATGCTTGTACAAGTCTGGATAACATCATATCCGGTCGGCAGGTCGCATACGGTCTAGTCGCAGGAGTTATATTTCAACAGATTTCAAATATTTCAACAGATCCGCAGCTCAATTCAGATCTGAATTTTCCGCATACGGAGATGATCGGAACTCGCAGCTCCCGGACTGCTCTCCATTAGAAATGAATAACTTCCAGTCTGTCGCTGGTCGTTTGTCGTGTGCAGTGGAAAGGAGGCTTAAGGAACACACACACACACACATTTTCTTGAGGAGAATATAAAAAAGTAAATTTTTTAACTAATTGAAATTTAAATATATTTATATTCTAATTAAAAAATTTCAATTATTTTATTTTATACATCTTTATATAAAATATGATTGAAATAAATAGAAAAAATTATTTAAATTTAAATTTATGAAATTAATATGCTGTTAAAAAATACACAAATGCAGTAAAATTATAAAACATGTAACTAAAAGTTATTTATTTCATATTCAAAATGTGGAATATTGAAAATGTATTTATATAAATAGAGATGAATTTCTAAGAATTATTGCAGAATCTAAATATTAATATTAAATATAAATAATTATATTACGAAGTTTTCTGCATTTAAATTCTTTAAAAAAATAACTAATTAAATTAATGATTATTTTTTCATTCATATATTTGCAGGTTTAATTAAAGTGATTCTCTGAATGGAATCATTAAATGAGCAGGGAGGCTGTAAATCAGTGAGCTTCCTGATGCTCATTTACTACAGAATGACCATGAATGTCTTTGAAGAGACAATAAGGATTATTTTCAGATTATGTTCATGATTGTTCTGGGAGTCATTAAAGGACGGTGATGGAGAGGGTTTAATGACTCTGCTCAAAGTGTCCTCTAGAGGGCAATAAAACACTGTGAACTCTGTGTGTGTTTCAGAGAGAAGCTGGAGATCAACAGGTCGTATGTAAATGAGGTGGTCCAGCACATCAAGAGGGTAAAAACACACTCATCATCATCACTGACATACTAGTTCACTCAAACCTGTACATTTTCTCACTTTCTTCAATCCTGTTTGCATTTCTTTTATCTGTTAAACACAACAGAAGATATTTTAAAGAAAGCTGAAAACATGTAACCACTGACTTTCACAATATTTGTTTTTCCTACTATAGAAGTCAGTGGTTACAGGTTAAAAAAAAAAAAATATATATATATATATATATATATATATATATATATATATATATATATATATATATATATATATATATATATATATATATATATATATATATATATATATATATATATATATATATATATATATATATATATATATATATATATATATATATATATATATATATATATATATATATATATATATATATATATATATATATATATATATATATATATATATATATATATATATATATATATATATATATATATATATATATATATATATATATATATATATATATATATATATATATATATATATATATATATATATATATATATATATATATATATATATATATATATATATATATATATATATATATATATATATATATATATATATATATATATATATATATATATATATATATATATATATATATATATATATATATATATATATATATATATATATATATATATATATATATATATATATATATATATATATATATATATATATATATATATATATATATATATATATATATATATATATATATATATATA